GGGAAAAATAAGAACCAAGAGAGATTATGTAAAGGTGCAAATTTCCAATGATGAATGTCATTATATTGTATACCTAAAATGTACAAATAAAATAAGTTAAAAAAAGAAAAAAAACCCAGTGATGAGCTGGGCATGGTGGCACAAGCCTGTAATCCCAGCACTTGGGAGGCTGAGGTAGGAGGATTGCCTCAAGTTCTAGCCCAGCCTGGGCTACATAGTGAGACCCTGCCCCCCACCAAAAGAAACCCAGTGAATCCCAAAAAGGGTAAATAAAAGGAGGCAATCCATACAGTGTGGAACTGAAAAAAACCAAAGCCCAAATTAAAAATCTTAAAATGAGTCTGAGAAAAAGAAATGAATTACTTTAGAATGAGCAGAAAGTTAGTTGGTGACTGATTTTTTAATAGTTCAGTACAACCACAAAGCAGTAAAATAATAGCTTCAGTGTATCCTTAGAAAAAAGAACTGCCAACCTACAATGCTGTACCTAGGAAAGATGTTTTTCAGGAATGAGAAAAAAAAAGTATTTTCAGACAAAGAAAACCTAAGTTTGACACCTTTAAGCCCTCAAAAGAAAAGATTCTAAAGGAATCAGCCATCAGGCCTAAGGTGTGAAACACAAGAAGAATGAAGAGCAAGGGACATGGCAAAACAGTGGCCACATCTCAGGGACATGGAACGGCATCTTGGATATTTTTAACAATCAGAATGAAAATAATAGTACATAAAAATGGGATCAAAGCGTTCAGAGGTCCCCATATTGACTCATAATAGAATGCATAGCACGATCGGTTTGCTGTGCAAACCACTGACGGAACAAGAACAAAGTCAGACTTACAGGCTTTTAATGGAAAGTAGGATGATAGAAAAGAATAAATAAAAAAGTCAGTTAACCCAAAAGAAGACAAGAAAAAAGGTTTAGAAAACACATCTCGGATGGTAGACTTTTTATTAGTGAATATATCAGTAATTACAGTGAGTTTGCTTGAATTTATTATATTAGCTGTTCCACTTAAGAATTAAAGACTATCAGATTCTATTTCTAAAACTCTAAATATATGGACTTAAATATAAAGATTCAGAAAAGTGAGGATAATAAAAGGATGCAAAAATGTACTTTTTTTTTTTTGGTGGTACTGGGGATCGAAGTCAGGTCCTTGCACTTGCACAGCAGGCAGCAAAACCACTGAGCTAAATCCCCGGCCCAGAAATGTACTTTTTGAATATTGGGCAAAAGGAGATAGCAAAACCATTCATAGTAATCAAAATAAAATTTAAGGGCCAGGGATTTAGCTCAGTGGTTTTGCCACCTGCCTTGCAAGCACAAGGTCCTGAGTTCGATCCCCAGTACCAAAAAAAAAAAAACCAAACAAACAAAAATAAAATAAAATTTAAGGCAAAACCATAATTAAAATAAAGAGGTCCATTTTCCAAAAGAATCAAGAGGCAAAAAAAATTTTTTTTGCATTTCTTATAAAGTAGAAATTGACAACTAAAAGATAAATAAGAAAATCTACAAAGTGAGTTAGTTTCTCTCTCTCTCTATCTCTGAAATTGATAGAACAAATGTATAAATAAAGTATTTGGCAACACAATTAAAAAGAAAAAGACTTTGTTCTAATTGACATATATAGAACATGAAAAAAATACATTATTTTTAAGCACCAGAGGAACATTTACAAAAAGTGTCTATACAGCTGGGAATAATGGTGCACACCTGTAATCCCAGCTCTCAGGAGGCTGAGGCAGGAAGATCGCCATAGGTTTGAAGCCAGCCTGGGCTACATAGTGAGTTCAATTCCAGTTTGGACTGTACAGCAAGATCCCCCCAAATTATCAATGTAATCATTTGATAATAAAGCAAGTCTACTCACGTTTGAGTGGATCAAATCATTTAGAGGCTATCTTATCACAATACAATTAAGCTAGAAATAATTAACAGAAAAATAATTAAGAAAATCTGCAGTGGTTGGAAATGAAGACATACTTTTCTAAATAACATATTGGTCTAAGAAAGCATCATCATGGAAATTAGAAAATATTTTCCACCAAACAATGATGAAAATATATAATATATAATATAATATATATTTTATATATTATATATAATATATGCATCCATCTAAAACAAATTTAGAGGAAATGTATTGCCTGTAAATGTATAAATACAAAGAAAGCCTAAAAATTAGTAAGCTAAGTGTTCAAGTTTTTTAAAAATAGCAAATTGAACCTGAAAAAAGTGCAAGAAAGAAAAGAGTAAAGATGAGAACAGAAATCACTGTGAAATAAAATAAATATTCCATAGAATTAACAAAGCCAGATTTTTTTATAGCCATATAAAATTGGCAAACCTCTGATGAGTTTGATCAAGGGAAAAAGAGGCACAAAGAAGAAACCTGAGTCCCCACCTCTGACCGGCAGGTTAGGGAGGTGTGCGGTTTGTTCAGACCTCCAGGGGGCGTCCTGACCACATGCAGAAACTCAGGAGTCTTTCATACTCAACTGCTCGTGGACACCCAGTCATTAGCAGCATAAACATTTTACGATTGTAAGGAGATTCCCACTGGACATTCAGAAGAACACACTTCCTTTTGGGGAGAAGCTCGCTCCGCCCCTGCTGGAGTGATCCTAAGTAATTCCATACCTGAAGGCAGGATGGCGTCAGCTTCCCAAGGAGAATTAATGTAAGCAAATTTAAAGGACCTCACGGTACAAGGCTATTCACTTCGAAAGCATCTTTAGCTAATTACTTTAGCAGATTTCTTGGTGCATTAGCAGCATCCCAGTCACCTCTGATGTTGCATCCTTTTGGCTCACACACCCCAGAAGAGGAGGAACGGACCGCACTGCTGATGTGGAGCCTGGGGTCTTGGCTGTGATAGCATCTGTGAATGAGAATGAGGAGAACATCAGAGAAGTGATCACAAAATCGCTCTTTCCAAAGCGTTGCACCTTCTGACAGTCCAGGAAGGGTGGCAGAGCATTAGTTCATCGTGGTGCTGGACACTCCAGTCAGTCACTCCTTGCCTGTGAGGCTGGCCTCCTCTGATTGTCCTTTGTGCTTTGTCCACACTAGATAAAGATTTGAAATTTGTTTTTAAAGTAACTTGGATAAAGGAAATGTGGAGTGTATACACAGTGGAATATTATTTGGCCACCAAAAAGGGATGGTATCATATTTTTTGCAGCAAAATGAATGGGACAAGAGGATATACACTAAGTGACAGAAGTCAGATGCAGAAAGACAAATAATTCATGTAACCTGAAAAGGATTGATCAGAATGTGTAATTGTGATTACTAGAGAGTCAAAAGGGTGCCAGGGAGGGAGGTTAGACAGCAGGTACCCAGACATAGGTAGAAGTAGTAAGTTCTAATGGTTCACAGTGCAGTGGGGGGACTTTAGTTCCCAGTAACCTAGTGTACATTTTATGACTAATTAGAGGAGAGGAACTTGAAGGCTCCCAACACAAGGTAATGATCCTGAGATGGAAATGTTAACTGCCCTAATTTGGTCAGGATATATTGTATACATACATTGAATTATTGCATTGTACTTAATAAATATGTGCAATTATGGTATCAATCAAAAAATTTTTTAAAGTTTAAGGTGATTGGAAATGTTAACTACCTTGATCTGATCATTATACTCTATACACGTGTGTCAAATTGTCACACCATACCCTCTAAATGTGCATAATTAAAGTAATGCTTAATTTTTCTAAACAAGAAAATACATAAAGGGTTATCACACAGCCCTTCCCTCATCAGGACTTTCCCCTATGCCTGCATACCTTTCAGAGATCACGACTTGATCTCCTGTGAGGGAAAAGGTGCCTGGGTTTTGAGTCTGTGCCTGTGGCCCCAGGATGCTCTTGGAGCATTTACTTAAATACCCTAAAGAAACTGGGTCTCAATTCATTTCCAGGTGCGCAGGTCTAGCGTTCTGGGAACTTCAGAGTGGTCACAGGGTCAGAGAAGCCAGTGACTAACCTGAGGATGGAAGTCAGGCACATCTCACATCTGCACACAAACTCTGATGTTTTTAAAAATCTGTACAGGAAAGAAAAAATCCAAATTCAGAACTTTTAAGAAGTTATTTGGGAAGAAGAAGAGGAAGGAATCACCTTCGTCCACAGGAAACAGCGCCTGGAAACAAAACCCAGCCAAGAGCGAGGTCATTGCCATCGAGTCCGGGCCGGTGGGCTATGACTCCGAGGATGAGCTTGAGTAAGTCGATTTTGCATCCATCAGGCTTATGCGCTAACACCAGAAGGGGGTGGGGGATGAGTGGACACAGGAAAACCTAAGACACTATTCGATGTCTGGGTAAGGGGGTCCTGGAGCCCCCTTCCCCGCTGGGTAATCCCGTTAGTGGTCCTTCCATACAAGGTATGTTTCCTGTCTTTTCACACACAAAAATGGAGAAAGCTGAGGAAGGGACCTGCAGTTAGGAAGCTGCTGTGTGCCAAGTGCTGTACATATTAAAAGTCCAAGCTGGGCATGGCGGTGCATACCTGTAATCCAAGCACGCTGGGAGGCTGAGGCAGGAGGATCACAAATTCAGGCCCAACCTAGGCAGTGTATTGACTTAATGAACCCTCAACTCAAAATAATTTTTTTTTGTTGTTTTGTTTTGGTACTGGGGATTGAACTCGGGTCCTTGCACTTGCGCAGCAGGCAATGAAACCACTGAGCTAAACCCCCGGCCCTCAAAATAATTTTTTTAAAACGGACTGAGGAGGTAGCTCAGTGTAAAGGCCCCATGTTCAGTCTCCAGTACAGAAAAATGAAGTCCACTGTAACTCCAGGAAGAGGTACTATGTATCATCATATAAATAAGCAAAGCAAGCCACAGAGAAACTGGAACCTGTCCAACATCCTACAGCTGAAAGCAGCAGGGTCAAGACTTAGGCCTTAGTTTAGTTTAACTTGAAACTATTTTGAGGACCTGGAATATTGTACTAGAAAATACATTTCTCTAAACTGAACTCCCAGTAATCTAAGAAGAACATTTTCACTAGACAGAGGTACAGAGAGAAAAAGGCTTCCTGTGGGTCAGCCTTATAAAAATTACCCAAGAACAGACCCAATGGGAATGAAAATTGGAAAGGTCCAATGAAGAGATCCATATTTTTGCAACAGTGTATCATCACAATACAGTTACCATGCATGCCAGTAGTATGGTCACAGTGATTTCTGTGGCCAAACAGAAGAGAATCAGGTTTATTGCTTTGCCAGCTTTTATGTTTCCTTTTAAACACTGGCCCTCGAATTTGAGGACAAAACTCTTGAGAGAGTGTGGAACCTGTTGGGATTGGGGAACAGAGCAGCAGAGATGGGCTCCGGGCTCCAGCATCTCTGTGAGCGAGTCCTTCCATCCTGGTCCGCCCCACCCGCCTCCCCACCTGTTTTTACACTAACCACTTGGTGGCACCAGATGACTGGACAGGGATGATTAGATTTTCATTCTTTCATTTTTTTCCTGCTGCCAGCAGGGAGCAGGACTCTCTGTGCACCTTATGAGGTGTGGAGGGGATGCACTGTACACGTTTCTTAGGTGACAAGCTCCAAACCCTGAGGAAGCCAGACCTGGTCTTGACCCCGGGACCCCTTATTAGGCCTGCAAGGGCCCAGCAGAGCTCTCTCCCAAGCCCAGTGCCCCACCTCCTCAGGGCACACAGTCCTGTTGTTTTGGAGAGGCCTGGCGGGACCCCTCCAGCCACAGACAGGTCACAGCCAGAGGGGAAATGGCCCATCCACTTGTCCTCTCCTCTTTGAACAGGACCCCAGGGAAAGTGGTGGTGGGGCCCATCTGATCTGTCTGTTCCCAGCAACGAGCAGGAAGCTGGTCTTCAGTGACCAGAAACAGTTTCCCAGGACTGATATTCCTGGAAAGGAAGATCAGGCATCAGGTAGGATGAGGTCCAGAAAGTAACAGTGACGTTTCTGAGAGCAGCACTGAGGAGGAGACCAACTCCCAGCAGTATTCTGTGCAAGTTGTCTGCAGCAGCTTCTCTTCCATGGCCAAGGGCAGAACAGAACCATGTGGGAAGAAGGGTTTGTGCTGGCAAATCACCAGACCCCTGTGCCCGCCCATGTGGTGACATTTGTGCCGTTGCCTGCACCACCACCACCTCCTCCTCCTCCTCCTCCTCCTCCTCCCCCCTTCTCCTCTGTCTTCCTCTCCTCCACCCTCTCCCTCTAATCTTTCTCCTTCTTACATTCTTTATGGTTTTTTGAGACAGGGTCTCACTATGTAGCTCAGTCTGGCCTTGAACTCACAACAATCTTTTTGCCGGGTCTCCTGAGCACTGGCATTACAGGTGTGCGCCACTACACCCAATTTAAGAGCTGATCTATGCAAAGGCCCAGGATAATCCCTCAGTATATCTTCATTTGTTTTTGTCATTATTTTTCCTGATACTGGGAATCAAACCCAAGGCCTTGCCCATGCTAGACAAGTGCCGTGCCTTGAGCCCCAGCCCCAGGCCCTGATGATGTTGCTTAAGTCTCTTCATCTATAACAATTTCTGCCCCCCTCCTTTTGCTTCCTGTCATTGATCTGGCAGAGGATTAGGCCCTTTGTCTCACAGAATGTCCACATTCTGGATTTGCTGTCTCTTGAAACAATGGAGCTTGTGGTGGTGTTCTCTCAACACCACATAAACTCATCCAGAGGTTTGATTAGATTCAGGCTGGAGATGGTGCTGCGCACTTCCTGTCACGGATGCGTCAAAGGTGCATACGTGCTGGTTGTCTCACTCGTGATGTTCAGACTGAGCCCTCCGGTGCTGGGGCTCTGTGTGACCCTGCGAACCTTCTTCACCTAACTCTCAACACCTGCTCATTCTCCACTTCTTTCATTGCAAAAGAGCGGTACTTCTATTCCTATCACTCATTTCATGTTTGCTAGCTGGATCTCTTCTGTGAAGAGCTTTCCTTCCTCAGCCCCTTGAAAAACAGTCTGCCCAGGAAAAGCAGGACGATACTTGGCTCTCCTTTCCCGTTCTCAGGGGACTGACTGCTGCCCGAGCAACTCCCAACCGTGACCAGTGACTTTGGGTTTTTCTCTTCTCTCTCGAGTATCACTGTGAATGCATTGGTTTTTATATATTTGAATTGCTTTCATCTGTAACCATTTTCTCCCTAATACTAGAAGAATTGAGACAGAGTCTTACTGAGTTACCCAGGCAGGACTCAAACTTGTGATCTTCCTACCTCAGCCACCCTGGGTGTTAAGAGATATGAGCCAGTGTGCCCGGCTTTTATTCATTTTTAGTGCTCAAATTGTCCCTGCCTTGGGCTGTCATGAGTCACTTCCAGTTAGTTTCTGGATTCTTGTGGCATAAGCACATTTGTCTTTGAAAGCTCCCTGCTTTCTTGCACAATGTGAAATCCCAGATTGTGTTGCACATTTCCTGGCCCAGATCTGGAATCAATGCCCCTTTCCCCCCTTTTTATAGCCCCTGGTTTGTTCCATATCATGTGAAGTGGTTTTCACTGACCCATCTGCCTGCCAGGGGTTATAATTGCTAAATCTCTGTCCCTGCTTCTAGACATTCCCTGTGGATGTAGCTTGGAAATGTTTATTATTTTTAAGAGAATAATAAGTCATTAATTCTCTAGTATTTCCATTTCAAGCTTCATAAGACAAAATTTTTACTTCTTTGATTCTATTCTCTATTTCTTTTTTACTGGAAACCTTAGATTCTAAAGATATTAACTAAATTACCTATTTTCTTCATCCTGTGGCATAGTAATTTTCTCGCCGTCTTTCTCACATAAAGGTCTCATGCTATAAATATTGTTGTGCATTATTTTTTAAATCAGGATGACTGCTAATGAAACTATAGGGTGAAATCTGATTTTGTTTTTATTGTCCTTAGAATTTATCCTCTCCTGGGTGGGAAAAAAAAGTCATTTGGGTGTAGAGTTAAAGTCACTTCAATCGATTCCTTTCTCTCTGTAGTTATGTTAACAATCTGACAGAAAACTAGTCTTTTCTGTTTCTGTCTGTTTTCCAGTTTTAAAGATTGTTTTATTTCCCTTTTTGCTTGATCTTGTCTTTCGTTTACATAAAATGTTTACATAGCTTCCAAGACAAGATTGTAAATGCAAGTACCTTTGTACCCTGTTTCCCAACTAGTTCTTTGCTTTTCTCTGAAAAGAAGCCATTCTTGTTCATTTGTTACTTATCCCTCTATGTTTATTTTTTAAAATATAAGCAAACGCACAAAGCTATGTATATGATTTAATCTGTCGAGCCTGCACCCATGTAGAGATTGTCCTTGTCCGAGTGGTCAGCTGTGGAGTCCTTCATCAGGTGATGCCTCTGGTTTATTCCAGCAGGCACCTGTCCAGGGACCTATGGGTTGTTTCCCACCCTATAAGTACTGCTGAAGTGAATGGCCTGGAGCACATGGGCTGTGTGTTTCGGCTGCTCTGTCTTTTTGGAGGCCTCCTCGTGCTGTCCTGACTCTGGAGCTGTCTGGGCCATAGTCATAGCTACCCCAGGCTGTGGCCACAGGCTGTCTGCTGTGGGGGGAAATGTAGGTGTGTAGGGACTTTGAGTCCAGAACTGCTGTTGGCCAGGAGAGCCAGGCTTTCACACTGAGCTGATTCCCTCCTAGAAACATGAAGACAGCCTTTTGGGAGCCATGGATTCCTGCTTGCAGGCTAGAAAGAGTCAGGAAAAGCAAGCACCACCTCTCATCTGTAGTGGGACAGGGCCACTCCTCAGAGTCCCTAGTGCCTCACAGAGGTCAGGATGCATGGGGTGGGGTTGGTGGGAGCAAGATGCCCAGGGGACAGAGAGGGGGCTTTCCTTCCTCATCACTGGTCTCAGTCATCTCCTTCCACCTATTGTTTAGGCTGCTAGGAAAATCTGGCAGAGAATTCCCACATCCTTTGAGGGCATTTTATGAATGTCCTGTGGGTTCAGTTCCAAATCAGATCCTTGAACTGGGGAAGAGGCTGGGATGGTGGTGACTAAAGGGCCGGCCCTCTCTGCTGCAGAGCTCAGGCATGGAGGTTGTGTTGCACAGATCAGATTGTTCCAGGTCACCAAAAGAGGATGCAGTCTTGCCGCCATTGCTGCCCTGGATTGTTTGGACCACCTTAGGAAGACATTTCTATCAGGCAGGCCCTCAGGCTGCAGTGTAGACAGCCTCCAGCTCACCCAGGGGTGTTCACCCACAAGTTTTGACCTTCCCTCTGAGGACACCCAGGGCAGGTGTCTGCAGAACCTAGCCAGTGCCAGCCCTTTTAGTCTCTTGTCTTGCACCTCATACCTCTTTAGACCTTGATTTTTCCACTAATAAAAACAATTCACAGAACCTTCAGATCTCTTAGGAAAATTCCCATCTCTTCACTGCTCCTAACAGTAGCCTGTGGCATTTGACAGAGAGAGGATAAACTGAGTCAGAAGGGCCAGAGCTTCTTGTATCATGTTCCCTTAACACACACTCCTCTATTTTCACTCTGAGTGCCCTGAGTTACTGACAGATGGAGGTGGCCAGCATCTTACAATAACTCTTTTATCCTAGGGAATCCAGGGGCACGCTGGGCAGCCGGGCCCTTTCACATGACAGTATTTTCATTCCTGAGGCGGGACAGGACCCTGCTCGGCCGGTGCGGGTGTTTTCCCAAGAAAATGTATGTGACCGGATTAAAGCTCTACAGGTAAGTGTTTGCTTGACAATATCACGTGGTGTATAGGTCACCTATCAATCCAAAAGCCTCTAAGTGATTTCTGCTTGGTCTATTTGATGCATTTAAAGTAGATTTGAAGGCACACCACAGCTCTCCCCAGACATGCCACAGTAGCTTCCCCTGGACCTTGACTTCATGCTTAGATGGACACAGAGAGGTGACAGCAAGAGAGCTGAGGGCGACTGCCTTTCAGTTCCACTCTGCACACCACAGGAGGGTGTTGAAGATATTTCCTGAGCAAATGAATGGGAGCAGGGAAGCTTGTTGAGAGATGTCATTGGTGGAAACACTCAGAGCAGATGTCCTTTGTGCCAATCTAGTTAAAAATACAATGTCACGTGAAGATGGGGCCACCACCTCCAGGGGGGCTGCCCATCAAGCGGGCAGAGGACACTGGCATGAGCTCCGAGGACGACGGGCTGCCCCAGAGCCCCCCGGAGATGTCCTTGCTGCACGACGTGGGCTCAGGCACGACCATAAAGGCAAGTGTGTCCTGGGCCACGCAAGTTTCCATCCTCCTCTGCCCCTGCTGGCAGCTGGAGCTTGGGGTCCCTGTGTGCTCTTTGTCCCCCAAAATGTTCATGGATGAAAACGATTACGCAGGGTGCAGTGGCCCAGGTCCCTGAAGCCACCATCTGGCCCCTGGGCGATTTTTGTTTTCATTCTTGGAGCAGAAATTCAGGTTTGGTCTAGAGACGCGGTTTGGGTGACATTTTTGTGGGATGGTGGGCCTGACCCAGGGCAGATGACCAGACCTGGAATCCCACTGAAAAAGAGAGATGCCTTTGTGTCTGTTCTCTGCTGTCATGATGCAGTATTGGCTGCAGGAAGAAGGGACAGTAAACATGCGCACTTAACCTGAGCCCCATGGCTAAGTCACTGGCTGGGAGCCTGTTGGTTTAGGTGGGGTGAGAGTTGTGTTTCTGGTAGAAAGGGCAGGAGAGGGATTTATGACCTCAGTGGGCCAAGGGCCTTATCCCAAATACCTCCCTCCCTATAGAATCAAGAAGAGGAACCTGAGGAATGAGCTCTTCCTCATGCATAAACACCGTAGTTCTTGATGATGCTGTCCTTTTAAAAATGTTATCTTATTGTGGTAAGAACAGTCAACACCCATGCTATGTACTTGCACATACAGACCAAACAGATGGTCCTTCTCCTCACATAGATAAGCCCTGCTATAATGTGGAGCAAATTGTAATTACTTAAGCTCTCTTGACATTTGAAAAGCAAATGAAGGCCAGAGTTCACATTTTATAGCCACACACCTGCCCTGTGCATCCCAGAAATGCTTTCACCTTTGGCCTGGCAAAGGGGCTGCTCACAGTGACATTGAGGGGTTGAAGATTCTGTGTCACTGTGAATGATATTCAGCAACTTGGGTGCTTGAAGTCCCCCTCACTCCTAATTTTTGTAAGTACTTGTGGGCTCCCGAGCATCATGGAAGAGGAGCTGAGTTTCAGTCAGCCCCCGGGTTGGGCTTCCCATGGAGCTGGCCAGAAAAGCGTTCTCTACAGAGTTCAGTTCCAGGGTAGGCTTCTCCCTGCTCTCTCTGAGAACAGCGGGCTCCCACACTTGTTGTTCAACCTCAAGAAGAACTAAAAGGTGAACATTGTGGTGTGGCCTGGGGTCAGATCCCATTGAACCAACCCTGCACCCCTTAATACAGTAAAACACCTCCACATCGTATACTCTCTCAAGAGTATACACGACTTGGGCCACATGCTGGGGAGATGTCTGTGGGGAGCTGCTTCCCTGCTTAGCAGAGACTGACTCTCCCTCCTCCCAGCCCATCAGGCCCTGATGCCCATGGCATGACCTTATCTTTGCCTGTAGTTCTCTGCCCGTAGCCAGAACAAGCAGTAAAGAGGAACAAGTAGTTTCTAAGCCCTTCATGAAAGAGCAAACCCCGCTCCAAAGACACTTGGTGCTATGATACCCAAACCACTCATGCTAGGCTAGGGCTGACCCCATCTTTCATGGCAGCACCCCACCACATATTTATTTTTTAAGTTCTGAAGCTTTGTCAATTATTGAGTAATGTTCACAACCCAGTTGCTTCATAGGAAACCAAAATTTGAGCCTTTAAAATATAAAAACATATATATAGGGCCGGGGATTTAGCTCAGTGGTTTTGCTGCCTGCTGTGCAAGCGCAAGGACCCGAGTTCGATCCCCGGCACCAAAAAAAACACCAAAAA